CGGCGAAAGTGTTCGAAGTTCTTCGAAGGTCGAATCTGTTCGTCAAGGCTAGTAAGTGCGAGTTTGAAAAGGATTCGGTAGTCTTCTTGGGTTTTGTGGTCTCACGGGAGGGAGTTTCTAGTAATCCAGAGTACATCGACGCTGTTGTGTCTTTTCCCCGTCCCAAGAACCTAAGAGAGAGCAGATGATTTATGGGAGTCGTTAGTTATTATCGGCGCTTCGTCCCCAACTTCTCCAGGATTGCTAAACCGATCAATGATCTCACAAGAAAAGATGTACCGTTTGTCTGGGGTATGGAGCAGGAAAGAGCTTTTAAAGAGTTGAAGGATAGAATGTGTAGGGCCCCGGTATTGGCTCACTTTGATCCTTCGTTGAAGACATTACTACAGACAGATGCGTCGTTCTTCGGGTGGGGCTTCATAATATCGCAGGTAAACGAGTTAGGACAAGAACATCCGGTAGCGATCGAGTCAGGAGCGTTTCAAGCGGCGCAGTTAAACTATACGGTAGGCGAGAAGGAACTACTAGCTATCGTTGAGGCTTTTAGAAGAAGGAGGCACTTACTATTACAGGTAGAGACTACAGTTCTCACGGACCACTTGAACTTGACATACTGGATGGAACCGAAGCAGTTAAGCCCGAGGCAGGGCAGGTGGGTCGAAGAGCTTTCTAACTTTAGGTTTAAAATGGTGTATCGACCTGGGAAACAAGCTACACTGCCGGATGGACTATCGAGAAGAGCAGACTACCACTCTGGAAAGGGAAGTACTATGGTGCAGGAGAGCAATCTTATTCAAGGGTTGCCGAAGTTCGACGAACTCGACGGCACTAGCTCTGGGTTACAACACCTACTTCGTGCTTTGCAAGGGACAAAGGAAGTAAGAGAGAATGACCTTATTGATCCCATGGATCTGATTGTTGGGGTACAGGAAGATGGAGAAGTGGAGGAGGTTAGAAAAGAGCTATTAGGAGTCATTTGAGCTGAGTGTTCCCATCCAACGTGTCACGATGACGTACAGGAACCAGGATCAATCACCGAACTACGCCGTAGTTCGCGATCCCCTCTAATACTTCGGGGAGGGTGGAACTCAAGGGGTTTCCTCACGTTCGACGATCGCACTTATGTGCCGAACTACGCCGAGGCTCGGCTAAAGATCATGAAGATGCGACATGATTCGGCCCTAGCTGGTCACCCAGGCTCAGCGAAGACCCTCGAACTTGTCCTGAGGGATTACGTTTGGGTTGGAGTAAGGAAGGATGTCGAAGATTATATCGCTGGCTGTGCGGTATGTCAGAGAGCAAAGACTAACAGACAGAAACCCCATGGAGAGCTCAAACCATTGCAAGTGGCTATTAAACCCTGGTCAAGCATCTCGATGGATTTCATCGAAGAACTTCCGAATTCCCATGGATATAATTCCATCCTGGTAGTGGTGGACCGATTGACCAAATGGGGGATTTTTATCCCAACCACGACGAAGTTAACCGCAGCTGGACTATCTGAGCTGATAATGGACTATGTGGTGGCTCAGCATGGGTTACCAGAGAGTATAGTATCGGACAGAGGATCGAAGTTTACCTCGAAGTTTTGGAAGAACTTGACCGATAGTCTCGGCATAAGACTACATCTTTCTACCGCGTATCATCCACAGACTGATGGACAGACCGAACGAACCAATCAGTCCCTCGAATTATACCTTCGAATCTTCACTTCCTACCAGCAGAACGACTGGTCGAAACTGCTTGCTCGAGCTAGCTTTGCTTACAACAACACCCATCATTCAGCGATAAACAAGACCCCATTCTATGCGAACTACGGGTACCACCCTCGGTGGGCTGAAGAGATTAAGGCCAGTGAGGTCGAGGTACCTGCTGCTACAGTGGTGGTAAAAGACCTAACCGAAATACATAAAGAATGTATTGAGGGAATTGAGAGAGCTAACGAGAAGTACGCCGAAGGATACAATAGGAAACACCGGACTACGCCGAACTTCGTGGAAGGTGACCTAGTAATGCTGTCGTTAGAGAACATCAAGACTAAAAGACCAATGAAGAAGTTAGATGTGAAGCAAAGTGGGCCGTACAAGGTAGTACGGCAGGTAGGTTCTCATGCTTGTAAATTGGAATTACCAGGAACGATGGCAGGTATCCATGATGTATTCCATGTTTCATTGCTTCGTCCCTATCATCCTCCAGTATTCCCTGGTCAGCAAGCTGAACCACCTGGGCCAGTAGAAGTAGATAACGTAGGAGAATCGTGGGAAGTAAAGGACATTGTGGACTCTAGAGTAAATAAAAGATCAGGAAAGTTAGAGTACTTGGTAGAGTGGTTAGGTTACGAAGGAACAGACGATTCGGTATCATGGGAACCAGTAGAGAACGTCGACGGAGCTGATGACATATTGGCGAAGTTCCACGAACTTCATCCTACTAAGCCGAAGGAAGGGCGACTGCGGAGGGCTAGGAGGTAGAACGTACTGCATACAACATAGGATTACAGCTACGTACCGCTCACTTGCCCTTACCCTTACCCTTTCCTTTTCCTTTCTCCTTCGCGCTACTCGGCCCCGCGAGATTGGTGTGGAGAGTACCGATGGCCGAAGGTAGATCGAGACTGTCAGGGGGGAAGACAGTCGAGAGAGAAGCGTTCCATGCCCGATTCATAGCCCCAAAGAAATCACCAAAGTCCTGGACATCCCGAGCAGCTTGCATGCTCGGAGTCCTCCACAGAGAACGTATGGTCCTAAGACACTCGGAAGGAAGGCTGAGGAGATCGAGAGCAGTCTGAGCAGAGGCAGGAACTCGAGAACTACTCCGGGGGCCTAACCAGCCGATGGACGGTGGTGGCTCGTACGCCATAGGAGTAACGAGGAAGGGGGTGTCGTAAAGTCTTCGGCGAACATCGGCTATCTCAGTAAGGCTTCGGCGAGAGACGTCCGCTAACCTCGTCCTTGCTTCTTCGTTCAGATTTCCACCGTTGACTACATCTACTAACGCCGCAGTAAGGTTATTCAAGGCGTTGGCTTGACGAGTGGAGAAGTCAAGCAAGAGAGATGTATCACGCCGAGCGACGTCAAGCTGAGTGGTGAGGCCGAGAACGAGAGAACGATACGTAGCAAATTCTTTCTCGTCCTCCGGGATACGAGGGTCCAGGGAGATACGAGGGTGAACGAAGGACAACCGAGGAACAGAGGGCCCAGCACGCTGAGTAGCTTCATCTTCCACATCACCAGCTTCAAAGACGACCTCTTTCTCCTTCCTTTTCCCTTTTGATTTCTTTAAAGAAGACTTCGGGGTCTTCTTGGCAGCGGGGGACTCGGTGACAGGGGCGGCCGCTGGGGTGGCCGGAGGAGCAGAAGGACGGCGACTTCGGGTGCTGTGGGCCGGAGGAGAAGCCACCATAGGAGAGGACGGACGAGAGGCCGAGGGCCGAGAGGTCGAAGGACGACGGGAGGACGAAGGAGGAGCAGCCGGGAGACGCGACGGGCCGGCCACAGGAACAAAGGGCGAGGGCGAGGGAGGCGACGAGCGGGAGGACGGCGAAGTTCGGCGAACCGACCGGAGAGACGAAGACGGTACCCGCGAACGGGGGACAGACGCTGGAGTCTGGGGAGGGGGGAGAGGAGAAGCGTCGAAGGGACGGGGCGGGATGTCCCGGGCAGAGGAAACGGGACAGAAGGAGCAGGGGCCAGACGTGCATGAAGCACAACGGAGGGCCTTGTTGTGTGGCCTGACTGCCTTGAGGCAGGGCCAGTTTGGACGATTATACGTGATAATCTCACGTCTACTAATTAGCAGGAGTAACTTCGGCGTAGTACGAATAGGTGGACTCACCGGCAACGATCACACGCTTCGTCAACACCAACCGCGATCCAACGACCAGGCTCGGACTTCATCTTCTCCCACAAGTACTCTTCTTCCCGCAGTGATCTCTTCACCCGTTTGGGCGAAGGCTCCCCTCTGGGAGAAGGGGGGGGAGCAGCGACGGGGGCGGCGGCAGCAGGACCGGCGGCGGCAGCAGGACCGGCGGCGGCGGCGGCGGGGGCGGCAGGGCGGGCAGCGGCGGCGGCAGCGGCGATGGCGTTGGGGGGGGGGGCAGAACCCCGGAAGAGGAAGAAGAAGAGGAAGAAGAAGAAGAGGAAGAAGAAGAAGAGGAGAGGGAACGGCGTCGTTTCTGGCCCACAATTTGAGCAGGGGGAGGGGCAGGAGCGGCTGCGAGTTAGCAATGTCTTGGAGAGCTAAAGAACAGATAAACAAGGCCAAGTTCGGCGAAGGTGTGAGAGGTTGGACGAAGAACTCACGCTCAGGACTATCTACGTTGTTGTCCTCTACACTAATCACCTCCACATCATCATCCGGGTATTCTTCTAACTCGCTTTCACCCTCACTATCGATCCTACCCTCCCCATCATCATCATCCTCACTTTCTTCGGTGTCGGGTCGATCACCCGACTCCGAGCCCCCACTGAGCGAGTCCTGGTCGGAGGAGGACGGAGACTCACCAGGACGAAAGGCGGGCGTCCTACGGCGAGGAGTGGCGGCAGGAGGAGGCCCTCCAGGAGAACCCGTTACGGGGACGGGAGAACCAGACACGGGGGAGGGAGAACCAGCGGAGGGAGAGGCGGAGCGAGGGGGCGAGGCAGCGCCAGACGGCTCCCCCAGAGAGAGAGTGCCGAGGCCGAGGGAGGAGACTTGGCGAGACCTGTCGCCGAAAGAAACTGAACATCAGCCAAGTTCGGCGAGGTAGGGTGAGTATCGATGAAAACTCACGAGCAGATGACACCATACCACCAAAGTTCCTCATGGCGGCGAAAGGGCTGGGTGTAGGAGTAGAAGGGGCCATGACGTTAAGATATTTAAAAGAGAATAAAACTCGAGGCGATGATTCAAGGTAACAAATCTGTTTTCTAGGTAAGAGAGATAGAAAGTTTTGAAAGCAGATGGGAAAAAGAGAGAAGCTCGACGAACTGCTCAGTATTTAGTATAATCAAACCTAGCCCCTCGTCGTCAACATGCAGCAAACTTCGCGTTTCATCAACAAAAGGCATCGCAGGGACGATCAAAATTCCCACGCTATAGTGTCTCATCTCAATATAAGCGAGGGTTACTTCGACAAACAACGGTGTTGTTCGGCTGCCATTCAGGAAGCGTGTCTCACCTACAAAAGACACAGGGCTTCTTACGGCAAACCTCGACGAAGTTAGGGGAGTCTCATTGTCGGGTTCTGAAGTGAAAGGAGGCCCAACTACGAAGTGCGGCGCAAAGAGCAGAAGAGTGAAGGATGGTCATGGGGAGGGAGAGAATGGGGGTACTACGCTGCTAAGTTCTCTTGCCACGACAGAGGTGTAATCGCTCACGAGGACGTTCGCGGCTAAAGAAGGGGGCGACTGTCACGAACTACGTCGTGACACCTCGATTACTCCACCAACAATGACCCTCCTTTGGCCATCAAAACCCCATCACGCCTTAACCTCTTTACTCTACACGTAACTCAGGACTTCTGACACCAAGTACGGCGAAGTTAGACGGAGTTAGGCTAAGTAGGGACAATGGGAGCAGAAGTACGGCGAAGTTAGACGGAGTTAGGCTAAGTAGGAACAATGGGAGCAGAAGTACGGCGAAGTTAGACGGGGTTAGGCTAAGTAGGGACAATGGGAGCAGAAGTGCGGCGATGTTAGGCGGAGTTAGGCTAAGTAGGGACAATGGGAGCAGAAGTGCGGCGATGTTAGGCGGAGTTAGTCGAAGGAGGAAGAGGATGGCCGAGGGCTCGGGGAAGTTGGACGAAGTGCGTTGAAGTACGTCAAAGCGCGAGAGGGTTGGATGAACGTCTAGGAGGAGTAGATAATATTAGTTGAGAAGATCGCTGAAGTTCTTCAGCGATCCTTGATTGTTGTCAGTAGTGAAAAACAGATAGAGATAGCTATATACAATTCGAGATACATCGCCATCAGTAGAACAAAACCCCAGTTAGAGTAACTACGCCCAAGTACGCCGTAGTTACACTCCTTTCGACGTCTGCGCCCTCTCGGTTGGGTGAGACTTCGACTCAGGAGCATCAAGTTAGCCGAGGTTCGTCGACCGTCGGTCTGCCAGAAGATAGTTGTTCGACGCCTGTGACACCGTGCGGGTGACGCGTTTCATGGCAACCGTCACACTAGCGTAGGTGTGACGTCAGGGCGCACCAAAGGTGTCTCAGAACAATCCATGTGAATCACTTGATTACAGGTTTCAGGATCCTCGGCGAGGATCCTTGAGACAGGGGGGGGAAACTTGTTACGGAGTAACAACAAATCGAGAGAACTCCATCGAGTTCGACGGATTAGGAAAGAGAACGGCGAGAGTTGGAGGCAGTGCTGCAGTAGGTAGGGACGGGTTTTCCCTTTTCGAGATTTCCCCACTGGGTTTGCTCAAAAGCGGTTTTTCACCTGTCCGAGTATGTACATAGACGCTTGCAGTAGGACTGAGAGGAGGACGCGGACTCTTGTAGATAGTATATAGTGCAATCAGCAAAGTACCAACTTTGCTGATTCTTCAATATCATTCTCTGGCTACATCGATTGCAGAGGAGACACGATCCATTAGCACCAGAGACCCTAGACTTCTACGAGACATCCATCGAGTTCGACCCAACCTGCGACCTAGTCGTCGTGTTTCCAGTACCGTTACAACTACTGACAACAATCAAGGATCGCTGAAGAAGTCCAGCGATCTGTGAACTATCTATACTTCCCCTCTCTTCTCATAGAACGTCCCTCAACTCCTGCACAGCCTCGTGCTCAGTCCTCTTCGCTCAACTTCGCCGTACCTCGCCATACCCCCGGTATCCTACTCCGCTCACTTCAACTAACTTCGCCTAACTTCGCCTGCTCTGCTCTCCCTCGGTTCTCCTCCTCTGTCACAAAG